TTCCCGATTCCTAGGAACCCCATACATATAATGTTATATATATATAGAGATCCTGTGTAGATCCTACATAAAGCCATAAAAAGCCTATCCCCGCGTAATGGCCAGAAATGCCCGCAGCCCAATGACACAGCCGACGAAGAAGGACCGAACCTGGAGCAACTGCCATCCTAACCAGCCAGAACCTGCTTCCTGTGTAGAGAGCCCTCACCAGGTTCATACGGTTGATGATATAGATCCTGCATTACCCATAATAAGGAATGGACCATAATTCCCATAGTTTAGGGTCCTTGAGGTAATGCAGGATTTCAATCATCAACCGTATCAAGACTCTGCGTTAAAAAAAGTGGCTGCGAGTTGTTAGGCTCAGGCCAAGGTAGTTGGAGGGTCGGAGCCCACCATCCTGGATTTGCATGCCTTCACATCGTGGGGGAAGATTGGACTTCCCCGGATTCTGCTGGGCTGGGGCTGAGAGGGTTTACTAAAGGCAACTAAAGCAATATGCATCTACATGTATGTATATTGTAATGTATATTCTCTTCTCTTCTATTCTGGTTTGCCAAACTCTGCATAACACGAAGCACGGGAATCCCTACTTTGACCGCAAGTGGGGTCTCAAACCTCTGCCGCCGCGGTACCCGCCAGTGCTGCAGTCTCTTCGCCAAGCAGTAGTTAGGGCCCTGCTCTTTGACCTGACTATGCCCATAGGCCCCTAAGTAGTTCCTTTTTGGGATTACCTTATAGGATTCTAAAATAAACCATGAAAAGGATCTACTTAGGGGCCTATGGGTGGCCGGTAGGTAACTTTGAGTTACAGGGTTTAGGGTCTGACCGTAAAGACGGGACTTGCGGATCTCAGGCTGTGTCGGTGTTCTGGGGGTCCGGGGGGGCAGGATTTCAGGATTACGTTCAGGGCTGTTTACATGCTTCATAGGGTGTTCCACAAGGGCGTATGGTTTATGTAGGGTTTATAAACCGCCAGGCCAGACCAAGATTCTATTGGAGTTGTCGGTTTTTTTTGCGACTTTTTTCGATAGTTAGCTAGACTTCACGAGCTGTGGGCTTCAGGATTTTTAGGGTTAAGGGCAGCAGTTTTCGGAAGTTGGACGGTAAGATACATTCGTTGAGTTCCTTGTCCTACAGGGTTCGGGCCTCGCGGCTGGTAGTGACTGGTTTACGGTTTTGGAAAAAACTGCTTCCTCACCAAAATGCTGGGCTGGGGAACAACATCGTGTTGATCGGTTGATGCAAACCTTGGCAAATTTTCCACAAACCGGATGCCGCGAGAAGGACTGTACCTTGTGGCGTTTTTGAAAAGCAACTTACGCTATGAATTCTGGTAGGATTCAGCCAAACACGCCGAAGGTTACTTCACCAAGTTTTGCTCGGCGAACGTAGCATTAGGCCGACAAGCGAATGCCTGAACCGCAAAACCTCGGCGAAATTAAACGAACCAGTCACTTCGCTTTTCATCAATCATGCGTGCGTGTTGTGCTTGTTTCTTTGCCTGAATTACACACAAATGAACAACGCATGGTTTAACTGAAAAGCAAAAGTAAACAAGAAAAACACGCATGGTTTGTGTTGTTTCGTTCTTTCTTTTCGTTTAGATTAATCACGCACAAACGGATCCTAAACTCTAGACCCTAGAAGTCCTGAACCTTTAAACCCGTAACTCATAACCCTACAGAACCTAGACTGGACATGTATATATATGTATATATATATATGTACTATATTGGGGACCTAAAAAGGGACCCTATTTTTGAGAACTACCCTAAACCCGGAACCACCAAGATGGCCCCGGCTGCTAGGCGCCCGTGCCAGGGCGTCGACCACAGGAAGGGCACCATCCTCGTAGGGGCTCAGAAGCCAAAAAGCCCTTGTAAGATTGAATCATCATCTCCGCCTTTATAATCCCTCTGTGTGTGAATGTGTTTCTATATATATATGTGTGTGTGTATATATATATATATATACACATGCATGTGTGCATATATATATATATATTATGTATACACATACGCACGTAACATAACATAACATAGCATAACTTAACATGATATAGCACAACATAACACGAGATATCCAACATGCACATCCAGGAGTTTTTCGAGCGAGGCTTCAAGTTTGGAGGATGGAGTATTCAATCCTTCGCATCTGCACCTGAAGGTCCCATGGGTTGTTGAATTATGTGCTAACCAGCAAGGCTTTAGCAATCTACATTCGTAGTCACCCTACGTTTTATACACCCTCCTCNNCCCCCCCCCCCCCCCCCCCCCAGTCAGAACGCGTTGTACGTATGCGGAATCAGTCTGGACGTTGGCATGTGAGCTGCAGGTGCCCGGTGGAAAGCTCGTGCGCCAGTTTGAGAACTGCAACGTGCCTTACTTATACCCTTTATCCTAAACCCGAAACTCTTTAAACTTAGACATAGTGTGGGTGGCGCATGGTGGACTTAAAAACCCTAGAACTATTATGTTGTCTGGCTGGAGTTCTTGCACAGCAGATCATCCACATGCGAGAGCTGGCATCTGTACTCAGGATGCAAGGCTCCCTTCCGACCTCTTGGCTACAGTAGACCTGAAACGCTATAACCCAAAAGCCTAAAGCTAAATCCTGGATCTTCGATGCACGTCCATATCCCTAAATAATGAGGGATTAGGTTTAGGCTTAAGGCATCCCTAAACCCTGAACCCTGCAAACCACACGCTGGCCTCCGTCTTCACTTTGTTGGGTGCCAGGCCTGGCCACGGCCCAAAGCTTCTCGGAAGAACTCTCGCAACAACAGCGATGGACGTTGAGGGTTTCGGGGCCCTAAAACCTAAACCCTATACCGTAGGATTTAGGGTTTAGAGAGTCTATCAGTTATTGGCTGTTGTAAACGACCACGACGATCAAGATGATCCTTGTCAGCTCACAACCATCATTGCAAGCATCGAGTTAACCAGAGTGGAGTACATTGTAGTATATGGTATTGCCGTAATTCTAGCACTTTATATGGTAGTATATTATATCTGTATTTTCAGAGACATCGCTGAAACTGGAGTCATACATACCGTCAGTCTCGTCACCACCATGGTCATGGCCATGGGTTTCATCGGGCTCATCATCGCCAGAGTCAGCGTCGCTGCGACTCACATGATACCACCATCATCATCATCACCATTACATTCATCTCAGCCATCGTCATCAACTGTGTTTCAACAGAGAAGCACGGCAAATCACAGGAATGCTTGGGCACGATAGACTCTTAGATGTAGCGTCACAGTCGCACACACTGCCCATAGTTTCACGCAGGCCTGAGATTCAAGTTAGCAACTCCAACTCTTCAAGCCCACAACTGTTTGACAAACACAGCACAGCAAAGAATCAGATAGTTTCAAGACTTGTATGCAGCACCAGGCACCCTTCAACTGTACCACCCAAACCCTCAACCGTACACCCTAAACATAAACCGCCTAACCCTCTAACCCTAAGCCCTAAGCCTTCAGTCAGAACAAGCCGTATCTACAGCCCCACGTCGCCCATGCCCGCAACCCAACACCCTCGAATCCGAGGCCCCCACATCACACGGAATGATGAATCTCAAAGAACCCAAACACCCCCAAGACCTGGCAGCCCAAGGTGAAGCCCAAAACCCCCGGACTCAACAGTCCAAAAACCACCAACAAGCTGGCCCAAAATGCCCAAGTCACCCTAACACCTGAGCCGATATTGGTGACTGACTTATGTAAGCCGCCATATTAAGCCTTAACCCCCGCACCCCTACACCCGCAAACCCTAAACCTCCAAACCGTGAACCCCTAAACCCCCCCCTAGAAGCCCCAAGCCACAAGGCCCAAGCCCCTAAACCCTAAACCCTAAACCCTAAACCCTAAATCCCTAAGCCCTAAGCTAAGGATCCAAGTGGCCCATCTTGGCGCAGGAGAGAAGGCGACTGAGGAGGCCCTGCCATGCAGGAGCTTTGCCTCGGGTTCTCCAGGGTTTAGGGTTTAGG